ATTCATTGTGTATACATGCTTATGTTTTTTCTTTTTTAAAGGTCGAACATGACAAGAAATGTTTTATCTTCTTGCTCTGACTTTTTTTTTTACAGTATTTCATTATATTTATTGTTGTTAATGTTAACTTCTAGATATTATCATATTACCGTAAGCAAAAATAAACTGTGCATTATTGCACAATGGAAATTAGAATAAGTTGTCCCAATACTAATCTAGCAGCTTTCTTAGCCTGCTTAAGTTAGGCTATCCTCTAGCAAAGTAGTAATATAGAAACCTGGCGGATAGGCTAGCTTTATGGCCTACCGATACACCTGGCCCAGGCCTAGCTAGGCCTAGGCCTAGTTAGGATTATGCTCTGTCTGTGGCCTGACTGGGCTAGCTAGCTAAACATAGAGAAGGCCTAGGGCTAGGTACATTATATGTTTCATTTCAGAACTTGGAAAATACCTTGATATTGTTAAGTTCTCAAAACTTGAATACCATGACGAAAAACTACAAGAAAAAACATCAGACACATTTAATTCTGGCCCTAAACACGTGTCCATATTTTGTAAACAAAAAGCGGTAATGAAAACAGAGATAGAGGGGGCTATCATAATTCAGGATTTGAGCTGCGCAAAATAGTATTTATTTCGTAATAGCATAATACAACACGTATTGATTGATTCGATGCTCGACATGCAAAATGAACATACAGTACAGGATAAAAAATTATTTGTGAACAAAAAAGTAAAAATTAATAATAAAAATCAGGAAAGTAGAACATATACGTAGACTAATTGAATATGGTAACAATTTATCCCTCCACATATTTCCCAATTTTAATAAGTAGATTTCTTTCCACAGTATTATTTTTTCTCGAGTATTTTTGCAACGTTCATGGGCCTACTGAACAGGCAGTCGGTAAACGTTAGCTGGTGTAAAGGATCATTTTTTAAATATTGCACTATATTTCTAAGCAGTTAACCTATATCCAAGTTCCTTTCATTAAATAGTCTCCATGAACCCAGGGGTGTCTGACTCCGACAGGGGTCCAAAAAATCACGGTCAAGTAGTTAAAAATCACCTTATTTTGCGAATTAGCGCCACTCAACTGATCATCGCACCACTTCCCTCCCCCGACTTCACCTCTGCCCCGCCCCCAATCACCATTTCAAGACTTGTGATACGCCACTGCCCGGAAGTCATTGCCGTATTTATCACCATGTACTGCAATTCAGCAACATAATGAGATGAAATTGTGTATCCACGTCTTACTACAAAAAAAATTCTTGGCAAACGAGAAACTACGATCACCGAGAAGCTGAGCCTATAATGTTAGTGTAATTCTAAAATAAAGTTTTAAACACTGCATTTCAAGCTTTAAAAAGTTTTATACCGTTTTAAAACCGTACAGTTTTAAGCCACTAGTTTTTAATGTTTTAGAAATTCAATTTTCTGAATACTGTATAATTAAATAAACGTAGTAACTTCGTAATCATTAAATACTGTACATAACTTTCAAAGTTTTGCTACAAAAAAAATCCTTGGCAAACGAGAAACTACGATCACCGAGAAGCTGAGCCTATAATGTTAGTGTAATTCTAAAATAAAGTTTTAAACACTGCATTTCAAGCTTTAAAAAGTTTTATACCGTTTTAAAACCGTACAGTTTTAAGCCACTAGTTTTTAATGTTTTAGAAATTCAATTTTCTGAATACTGTATAATTAAATAAACGTAGTAACTTCGTAATCATTAAATACTGTACATAACTTTCAAAGTTTTGTTTTAAAACGTACACATTCTAACTGCCAGCTTTTAAATGTTTTAAAATGTTAATATCTTAAAATGTTTCAAACTCAAGTCTGAATTCAATCAATTTCTAAATTCTAAGTCGTTTTTTAAACAATGTCTTAGTATTTTGATAAGCCTGTACCCTATATCGGTATAATTTGACCATGGCATGTCATTAGTTATGCCGGTTCACTTTTCTGTTTTTATTTGTAAATGTTTAATCTTTGTGAACGCACTGTTTTATTGTGCCACTGTATTAAAGGTGTAGATCCAAATAAAGATTATTATTTTTTTTTTCTGACAGAATGGATCAAGAAGATGACGACGCGTTGCATCGTCGCACACATCCAACGCGTCAGTTCGTTAACCAAAGACCAAACCAGAGATAGTGACGTCATTTAAAATCAGGATTTCAGCTTCGGGGAAAGTGAAAAGAAAGGGAAAAGATGGCTAACGAGATATGTAGGACGTGGAGTTTTTCTACTCGTAGGGCCCCTTCGTCTAGGCCTGTGGAAGTAATTGTGTATATTTTGACATTTTTAATGACAGTTGCTGCGTTTCATCACAAAGATCAACAGTTAAATTTCATCGATTGTACATCAAAGTCACATCAGGCGATAATATTTGATCAATCGCGGATAGGCCTAGGCCGATCAAACAAAATCGTAAACAACCAGGAAGAGAGCTTCGCCAGCAGACTGTCAAGAGGGGCACCATGTGAGCCCCTAACAGAGCATGAGAAAACTAGCCTGGAGAATACAGAATCTACTGTAAGTGTAAAACTGCATTCTGGCGTTGGAGTGGGGGTTGAGGTTTTGTGTGCTAGGCCTTTAAATGTATAGAATAATTAAATTAGAAAGAAGTAATTAGCCTTCTTCTAGGCCTAGGCCTCTAGGGGCATGGAGTTATATAATTATAACTCATGCTAGGGGCCTATAAAAGAAAAAAAAAACAAAGTAATAATATATAGGCTTAGGCCTAGCCTGTGCCTAAACAAAGGGCCAATTTTGAATTGTGGATTTTTATAAACATAGCTTTACTATGTATGTGACAAAAAATTTCAAATGCAAGCAATTCCTTTGCAGCTAGTACCATATGAAAATATACCTTACCGTCAACAACCATCAACAAGCGTTGTTGATGGTAATTGTTAGTATGCATGTACATTAATACTATTACCGTCAACAAGCGTTGTTGATGGTATTTATTATATATGTGTACACAGTATTAGTAATTACTGTCAACAAGCGTTGTTGATGGTATTTAGTATATGTGTACAGTAATACTAATTAAAGTTATATGTTCTTATATATTCAAGCGTTGTATATTCTCTGTCTCTTATACACATCTAGATGTGTATAAGAGACAGGTCTGTGGCAGGGCAAATGTTTTTCCAATTCTTATGTTTGAAATTATAATTCTATAGTTCTTTACTATAGGCATTGGCAACTAACATCATATTTGATTTTGTTTTTGGTATAAACGATTAACCGAGTCATTTATCATATAATTATTAATCTATTTGCATATGTAGGCCATCATTTATTATTATTAAACAAGTAGCAGAGCTCCACACAGTACACTATAGAAAAATTTTATACGAATGTTAGATATAATGCTTGAAAAATTTTCCAGAGGGGTAAGGCCCAAGGGAAATTTTGAATGCATTGAATCCAACCTAAGTAAAACAATCGCTGTCTTTTAATGTTAGTTTTGATAAACGTAAACAACTGTTGTAGCATCGGTTGCTATAGTGATATGATTAGTATACTGTGTTCGTATTTACATTGAGCTGTGCGTATGCTGATCTGTGCTCCTGCAGTGTATGCGTTAACTACACATCAGCAGTACTGTCAGTACCGATATGATGAATTACTATTGTAATTTGTATTGTGTTGTACTTGTTTGTAATGCTATTTTGATAGACATTCGTCAAAGGAATAAATATTTCTTAAATCATTTGAGAGAGAATGCAGTTACTGACGTTTTGGTCAATGCAGACAAGTAAAAATCATGCGATGATTTCATAGCTACGCTAGGCTACTGCCTAGTTCTAGCAGGTATTAGGAAGCCTCGGCGCCCTCCTGCCTGCCCGTAGGCCTACATTTAATTTTGTTCGTAGGTCTAGAATATTTCTATTAAACGTTCAGTTTGTTTAGTTTATTAGGGTCCATTGATTCAAGGAATTCCTTAATTGTTCATACTTAATATATATCTTCAGGTTCTAATTAACCTTGTTTTACGAAAGTAATTTTCAATTACAATTCAATTTTCATCGCCGTGCACAATATCTTCGCAGTGACGAAAAATGTATTTTTTTTTTGCACACAAACCTTAAAAAAAATCAAATCAAGCCAAGCGTCCATTACTGAAAAATTATTGGACTGTGGGGGATAGGCAAATAACATTGGGAGTTGCAGTAATGACGTCATGATTGACTTATAAAATATTATTATCATTATTATTATCATTATTATTATCATTACTATCATATATTATTATTTATTATCAATATTAGTATTATTATTGTTATTGTCATTATAAATATTATTATTAATATATTTGCATATGCCATTATCAAAGGATGTTAATTGTATGACGGTTGTTGACGGTAATTAGTATTAATGTACATACTTGTCAACAGCTCTCAACAACGCTTGTTGATGGTTGTTGACGGCTGTTGACAGTTGTTGATGGTTGTTGACGATAATTAGTATGACTGGAGGGGTCATGTGACGCTTGTCCTCCGTCAAATATCAACAAAGTTACAGAATTTGGGAAATTATTAATTATGCCTAATTTCCCTCCTTCAAAACCAATGTAAACAATGGAAAAGTATGTGACCTTTTCTTGAGAAGTGTACAAAACTGCTTCAACTTTTGTGTTTTTAGACATATTTCAATAAAATAAGCATATATACCAAGGACAAAAAAAAATAGAATTGTGAAACTCATTAAAATTCAATCATTTATTAATTAAATAATAATTGAATTAATTACCAAGTAACTAATTACCATTATATATAGACACAGCCTGTATAGACATATATCAATGTATTCAATGTATAAAGACATTATGGTCAAAAAGACTCTAATACAAGGTTTTGGTGCTCAAGTTAACATAATACCAAAACTAGATATGAATAAATATAGATCAATTAGCACAATAAAATTGGTTTCAGAGCAATATAAACTTGGATTCAGTTAACAAAATTTAACATAAAATCGTGACTGTGTACATATTTTCTCCATGGGTAGGCTAACAAAGAGTGGAATATCACCAATTGCTTCTTGATGGAATATATTTTTTTTATTGCTTTTTATCTCTTTGATTTCCAGTTTGAATTCAAGAATGATTCCAATTTTAACCTTGCTTTAGTATGGCTAGGAGAAACTGGAAAGGTAGGTGAAATATTTTGTTTTTTAAACAGTATCAAACCATTAAAAAAAATTAAACTTTAGAAGTTTTTAAACATATTCATTATAAATATCAGTGGGAGCATGCTTACATCAACAAATTTTAAAGTACAAATGAAATAAGTACAGCAGTAATTTCTTTAGACTAAAAAAATGTATTGAGACAAAAGGTTTTGCTAGTTTGAGCTCAATCTTCAAAATCAGCGAAAGTTTGTGTCTCAATAAATTTTGTATGAAGTATAAAGAAGGTAGGTGCTATTGTATTTATTTCATTTGTATTTCATGTTATTGATTAATACAGCTCCAAACTTTTATTAAATTTTAAATTGACTTTTTAAATATGTCACAGGTCAGATTTATTCTGAAAACCGAAACTGTATTTGAAATCTATTCATACCAAACCAATGTGCAATAAAGCCTATTATGAATAGAGGGACAGGGTGACTGTTAAAAGAGCAAGACTTGGAAACAGATTAAGCAACTATAATGCCTGTCTAGACCTTGGTAAAAGTCCAGGGAACACATCCATCAGAAAATGAAAAAGTCCATTGCAGGAGCTTCATAAGATTTTAATCTTAATTAAATTCTTTGCTAATAGCTGCTATACTAATGATATATCTTTAAATCAAATTATTTAATTTCTTATTTTACAGGAATTATTAGCATTAACAACTATGGATTTTGGAATTTTTGTTGGTCAGTCAAACCTGTGGATTAGGTAACCGGAAAATACCAATTATTATAAATTTGTATTATGTGCTTTTAAAGCTGAATGTTAATGATTAAGTATATAAAGGTAGGGCAAAAATTACACCTATACATGTTTCTCCTGACGCAAATCCAGTTATTGTCTATTATTCCATCACGACAATAAAAATTACTATCAACACTGCAGTACCCGCTGCTTACTGTACTTGGACTCGAATTCAACCCTGGCCATCAGGCGCAAGCTCGGTGGTCTAGAGGTACTGTATGATGCCAGGCTAGTGATCTGGAGATCGTGGGTTCGAGTCCCACCCGAGAACAACTTGCGATTTTTTTCGCAATT